TGTGTGTGTGTGTGTGTGTGTGTGTGTTGTTGTGTGTGTGTGTGTGTGTGTGTGTGTGTGTGTGTGTGTGTGTGTGTGTGTGTGTGTGTGTGTGTGTGTGTATGTCGTCTTTGATATACAGATAATAAGTGTCAAAAATATATTTGTACATATGTTTACTGATTATATCTTTATTTGAAAAATCACAAAGATTTTAGATAAAAGATTACATCTTTTGAAAAATTAAACTTGTTCTTCGTTTTCCTGATAAGTCAATTTGATATCTATTTCTGATCCCAAGTGTTCACGAAGTTGGTCAAGAACGTCAACTTGAATTTGATCAACGTTTTCGCCAGGGGTGTAATCGTCATCACTAGATCTGTAATAAAAAGATATTATTAATTTATAATATTTATAAAAATCAATTTATAATATTTATAATATATTATTTATAATGGATAAATAAAAAATAATTATTTATTCCTTATCGTTCCTGCTCATTTTTTAACTTCGTCGAAATGTCTATAGCCGCGTGATAATATTATTAGTTAAAATTATTTTGTGGCAACTTCTCCTTCTTATACATTTTTTATAAAATTGTAATTTTTTGTGATATAAAATAATTCTCGATTCAATGAAGAAAAAAATGTTTTGTTCGATTTGAATTTTTGGCAATTAATTGCTAATAATTGCTAATGGAAAATCAAAACAGAAAAGAAGGAAAGAAATGTCGAACATAAAAGTAGAAAGTCATTTAAAAAAATCGCGATTTTTATTTATTTCGTTTCTATTTTCTTTTATTCTTTTATTTTCACTATTTCCACTTTTTCGTAGATTTAATTAATTTAATTTCTTCTGTTGACTATTTCATCCCCCGTCAATTTTTGTCGCTGATTGTTTAATCGTCGTTTGGCAAACTGTGAGAGAAACTGCAAACTGTCCAGAGATGATATCCGGCGGCGTTTCCGCGTCTCCCCCGGAAACTAATGTGCTGAAATGAGAGTTGGGAACAGTGAAGGGTGGAAGCAAGTCGAATGGGATGGAATCGATTTTTTTTCAGCCTGCCGGAAGTTTGTGCAGAATCTCCGTGCATTCGTTGCCAGATGGCGCCAAGTTACTTACTTTACAGTTCATTAATTTTATACATATATAACGGCATATTTATAAAGAATATATTTATCACATTAATTTTTAAAACATATGTTTATATTAAAAACATTATTTTAAAAATAGTGTAAGAGAATATAAAAAGATAGTATATTTTTTTAATAAAATATACATATTTCTGTCTTACAACATTAATTATTGTCAACATTTTATTACTTGGGAAAGATGTTTTCTTTAAATTTTTTAAAACTCCAAAATTGTTAAATTTAATATAAATTCTCATAAAAGTTATTTTGTAACTTATTTAAATAAATATTTTCATACATAATTTTTTTCACCCATCTGTAGCTTATGATAGAATTAATTTTATAATTTATAAATTTTTTACGATTATATAAAATTAATGCGTTTATGTATAACGTATATATCTATAAATTGTGTATATTTTTTAAATATCCTGACATTTTTTTTCAAGCACATTTCAATAAATGTAAAAAAAACTATTTTCTAATAAATAAATTTAATAAATAAATCTTCAAAATGTTTATATACTCTGTGAATAATAAATTATAGTATAGCACTGATAATATATTCAACAAATTATTTCGTTCAATAAAAATATTCGCTATTTGCTTTAATATTTACAGAAATGACAAAGCAAAGAAAGAGGAAGAAATACCGTGTCTTGACTTCAGGAAATCGAAGGTAAGGACATCTAGGTATGAAAGGTGAAAGTTGGATGATTTGATTTTGTTCATCCTTATGTGAAACCCACCCTTATTCATCTGGAGGGTGGGGCTTAATGATATATTCACGATTCTGAACCCACCTCTCGGACAGCCCCGCCGTGTCGTCCCTATAAACCGTCCTTCTTTTATATTTCGTACCCTCCCAGCATCTTCTTACGCGCCATCTGCGGCATTGCGGGCTTCGGTTTCGCGTGTGTAAAAACGGGACAATGATATAACTTCAGTCGTTGGAATCGTAAATTAATATTTGTACGACCCAAATTTTTAATTGTCGATATATGCACGAGACGTTGTCTACCGTGATCGCTAATTTGAATCGTTCACCTTTAAAAGGTGCATAAATCTCTTATTACAATTTCTGCACGCTCAACTGCATCTATTAATTTATCACACAATGCAATTATTTTCGACTCATATCACTAATAAGCGAATATAATATTATATTTTAATAGCACAATGCAACGTGTAATCTTAAGCCAATCTTATTATGACAATTTCTTAGCGTAAACGGAAAAATTACAAAGTTATATACAATATAAAATTAATTTCATATTTAAATTTACATTATAAAAAGGAGATATTTATTAATTATGTTATAAGAAGAAGATTTATCAGCACTATCTTTCAAAATCATTATCTAATAAATTTTACAGTATATTGCACAAACAAGGCTCTACAATAAGTGTAATAAGCATAAGAAATCGATTAATCATAGTCGATTATTCTTCTTACATCCGATTGATTCTTATTGTTCAATTTTTTATATATGTTTAAAGTTTATTATAGATCCGGTCTAATTTACTCAATAAATTTGTAAATTTCTAATTGGTGAATTAATGTGAAGTAAGATCATATACTGAAGAAGAGTGATTTACCTGGCTATCGTGATAATTGTTGGAGGTGTAGGAAGAGCCATCAAAAATGATCTGAATGTCCCGCTGATCAAACGATCGAGATCATTAGGTTCCGTCACGTGTTCAGGTAAAACTGTATCATCTATAGTGCAACCTGCATTATACACCAAAGACCAATCGACTTCCGAGTCTTTATAGACGCTTCTTACTTCTTTACAGAGAAGATTTACGGCTTCGTACCTGAAATTATAATGCACGATTGTGGCTGTAGAATTAAATAATTTCTATTTGTGTAAATTGTAATCACAAATTTCATGAGGAATTTATTTTTGCTATCTATATATATGTATATATATTTTTTTTATACTTGTTTTATTTCAAATCACATTTACAATACGTTTACATTTGTAATAAGCATTTATCACTTTTATTAGAAAATAATATTTCCTCAATGACGGAAATTGTTTAGATTTCGATTGCTTAGATAATTTGTAAACTTTAATGCGGTTGCGCGTAACAAAGGCAAGCGAAGGCAAGCGAAGGACAAAGGTGAACGATGGAAAGTTTATAATGCCCCAACGATAGCACGTGGTTGCAAAAGTTGAGGTATTTCCTGAAGGCATGCGACGAAAGTTAACACGGCCACAAGAACGGTTCCGGGTGCCCGTAATTTGTACTTCTCCGTTCCTCTACGAACGCTCTTTATCTTTCTCTCTTTCTGAGTCCCTTATACCACCCTCTGCTTTTACTCTTATCTGATCACAAGTTTTCCTCGTTTTCTGCAGCTGCAATTCCTGGCGCGGCACGATCGGACGATACCTCCGTTGACAAGCAGGGGCCGATCATCTGTTTTTTATTTAGATTACCGATAATGATATCATTGAGGATGACGATGCGGGAATCGCGATGGCGGGCTTCGTAAACCTGCTTCGTAACAGAACGTTTTAAGCGTACCGCGATACTCATGTAGACTGTTATCATCATTAGTGTCTCACGGATATACCAGGCTTTCTAGTTAACGTTACAACTTTAGAAAAACAGAATGGAATACAATTTTATACTTTTCATTTACTTTTAAAGAACTTTAGTTCATCATCACCTAATAATGCCTAAATTAAATTAAAAGCTGCGAATAAAACATGACATTTATTGAAAAAAATTAAAATTTCTTTTTTACTTAAAATTTAAAATAGAAGTAAAAAATAGTGTCAATTAATATTTGGAAATTAGGAAACACATTTCCAAATATAATCCACGCGTGTCGATGGGAGAGAATCGAAGGCAAGTTTTTTTACAGGATATGAACCAGAATATGAACCATCGCGCGGCCGATATAAATTAGACGAAGCACGCACCGGAAGGTGAAGAGACACGTTTGATATTAATAACGGAAACGTGCAGGCCCTCCACGCTATATCATTTCACCACTGACGCACGGCCGAGCGCATAATTTTCGAATTAAGTTAAGCGGTCTTGGGTTAGGTGATCATGGTAACCGAACGTCCGTCCGTAATAGGCGTAATTGGTGAGAAGATATTCTTCCCTTTCCTTTTTCCTTCTTTATACAGTAGAACCAGGTGCTTGGCTAGCAAGCGGCGCACACCTCAGTCGCTAACGCGTCAACTGTTTATAAGAGGAGGCCATCGTCGAGGCCTTTCTCGCCCACTTTTTCCTCGCTGAATATTAATTATTCTTCTGGAAGTTGCACCTGCCGCCTCTGGGCCGGACACACGTGAGCTCGCTTCTTCGTATCTATCACAGCTCGTGATTGCCACCGCAGATTATCCTGACAGTTGGGTAACAATGCCGGTTAACGATCGATCTCGAGGGAATGAAAACTACTTTGCGTCTTCCTACGTGCAACTTTGTGCGAGCAACACCGCAAACGATTCACTCTTACGGGATAGTAACAACCGCCGCTATCTATTTCTTCAAGTTAGTTAAAATTAAGTTTGACTGGAACAAATATGGCTAAATATATGTAACTACATAAATAAAAATGAATTATATTTACCATGTATTATATTGTAAAATATTATTTCATAACAATTAATTAAATAATAAAATTTAATTATTCACAATAATTTAGGTAAGGAAGATTACAAAAAGAATAACAATTTCGTATATGTTTTGTACATTTAATATAATACGATAAAATGTTTATCAAAATCAAAGATATAATTTTCTAATAAATAGGTGATGCAAATAAAGGTACTCAAAACATTGTTATGTTACACAAACATTCCTTTAACAACTAAATCATTAAAAATTTGAAGAGTATAAAGTACAATTGTTGTTCAAATATTGTATTTAATTTTATTTATATTTAATATAAATTTCAAATGAAAATTATTACATTCATCACAAGAATATAGTTTAATGACGCAAATTTCGTGAACGTTCAATCTCGAGAAGCAATTTTTCAGATCACGTCGTTAGTCCGATCCATTAGGAATCTCAAGATTAAAGAAATCACTAGGTTCACAGGCCTATGATTCCCTTTATGTAATTCAAATTTAATACCCGCAATTTAGCAGTTGTAGATAATTGTAGAATTCAAATTTTTCTAAAGTGCCAGGTGCTGGCATTATACTGAAAGACTGAACTTTTTAACTTGCTGGTAACATGACGATAATAATGTAATAATTATAAAATTTTTTTCTTTTAGTAATTTTAAATAATAATTATCACAGTTAAATAAAATTAACAAAAGTATTGAATAATATTAAAAATATAATTACTCATTAATAATGAATACTCATTAATAATGAATAATAGAATTTAATAATAGATTTTAATAAAAAGATTTTAAATTAAAATTGATTTAATTTCTTAATTAATTAGGTTTCTTGATGAAAATTTGAGAACAGATTTATTATAAAGATATTTTAAATTGGAAGTAGAAGAATTTTTTCGAAGTAAAATTTACGACAGTAACTATATAACAAGATTTTGCTTCTCGCTTGATGACAAGTTATTTTCATTTTTATAGAAATTTATTTCGAGTCTATTTATTAAAATATTTAATATTAATACTAAAAGATTGTCAAACGATAATCATGTTTGTTACATTTTTTTAAAAGAAACATTGGCATCATACTTGTTAAAAATTTTAACTGAGGTATTTTTCGTATATTATCTATGACACTACTTCGTTCATTGTGAAACATCAGATTTTCACATATTGCTATTGTATATTTCATTCTCAAGATCTTGCTAAAATGAGAATTAAAAACAAAACAGGAAGTCGGATGTGGTGGATCATGATTCGTTACCTATATGAAATATTTTCTTTTTCATCTTTTACATTTGACGGTAGTCGTGCGAAACAATATCGAGCGGTAGGGTATTATCCGTGTGCTGTCACGGCTACAATTATATACGGCGGCAAAAACGATCGCGAGATCTCTTTAGACCCTTTTTTTTTTACACTTATTCCAGGAAGCAGATGTCACGAGAGACTAGCACCAACGCATCCGCCTCTATCTCGTACGATTCATTTTTCGACGTGTGACCGACCGGTTTTTGTATTTTTCCATCCTCTCTCTCTCTCTC